AACAATGTTTCCCTCCCATTTCTCTACGTTCCTCCCCACTTCAATCTCAATGTTATATTGACTTGTGATTGTAAGAATTGTATAAATGAAATTCCTCTATTCTAATAAAAAAAAAAAACCCTTTTTTATTTTTTAATTTTAGTTGAGATCTTCAATCTCAATGTTATATTGACTCCCCCCCCAATGCATATATATATGATTTAGATTAATGCTTGAGGCCTCGAATTTCTCTCGAATTTGATTTTTTTTTTTTTTTTCTAAAGCTGTGTTAGTTTGGGTTTTTTTTTTCCTCTCTTTTCTTTTCTTTTCTTTTTGTAAGGGTGGTTATGTATAGGAGTGTGCTAAAAAATTAGACATTCTGCAAGTGAGTTGGGTTGGACTGATTGGGTGATAAAATTGACTGATCAATTTTATTTTATTTTATTTTATTTGTTAAGCTTGTTGGGTTTTTTTTTTTTTTTTTTTTTTGTAAAGGTGGTTATGTGTAGGGGTGTGCCAAAAAATTAGACATTTCGCATTAACTCATTGTACAAAATTATATGGAATTATTGAATTTTAACCAATAGTCTAATTGATTAGTCAATTAAGTTGGACTGGTTAAGTAATAAAATTAACTGATCAGTTAAGTTGTTAGTTAAATTTTGTTAATTTTATATAATTTTATACAATGGGTTGGTGTGAAATGTCTAATATTTTATATTAGACATTTTAACTCACCCTTAAAAAAAAAAAACAAAATAAAAAAATTTAACTGACATAGTAGGAAAAAAAAATTTAAAAAATACGGCATTCAAGCCAAATTCGAGGTCTCATGTTCGAGGCCTCTAGCATTGCTCTATGATTTATGATTGTAAGAGTTGTATGAATGGAAATAAACCATATCATTGATGGGATTTCTATATAATTTGTTGATTAAACATTTTGATTGTAAATTTCATTTTGCATAATTGAAGTTGTTTGGAAGTTTACTATCAAATTTTTTTTTTTTTTTATTTCTCTTATCTCTCTTTTTTTACTTCTTTGAGACTCATAAATGTTGAATTCTTTGAAAGATCATTTTTTTCTTCAAAAATGATTTATTCAAGAAGTTTGACTCATATTTCATGGAGATTATTTTTGTGTGTGGATATGTGCGAGCAATGAATTTGATGTATATTTTTTTTCTAATGTTTTACTATTTCAAGTTGTAAAAAAAATGAAATAGTTTTTTTATTTTTCTTTGGGATTGTGTTTGGTTTTTTGCAATGCATTTTTAGGTATGTTTGCAATGCACATCTTTCACTTGGCATAAAGGTCTCATATCTTTCTGTATAAATCATATCTTTCTCTATAAAAGACACAGTTTGAAAGAGGATAGATTGAAATGCATGAGATATTTGAAAAAAATAAATTAGAAAATCTATATTTTAATTTAATTTTTTGTTTTTTTGTTTTTTGTAATGCATGTCTTTCACTTCATATATTCACAATATCACATAAAAATCTCATGTCTTACTCTATAAGAGACAAAGCTTGAGAGAGAAGAAATTGAAAGATCTTCACATTCAAGATAAATGCATGAGATATTTAAAAAAAAAAAAAAGTTACAAAATCTATATTATTATTATTATTATTATTATTATTATTATAATTGATGTTAGTTTTGTGAGACGAATATAAAGTAGTAAACACTACAATCCATGTATATAGTCAAAATGTGAAAGTAATCGTAAAACATAATTGAACATTATTTCAGTTGAATATTATTATTCCTCATGTATTGATATGATATATGACATGTTTCAAAAAAAAAAATTTATTTCATTTGTGCAAGTGAATGCCAAATCATCAAAATTATTGGCTATTAATTATTTTTTTTTCAATATATTGACTAATAACTAAATTAATTTTTTGATTTTTGATTTAAAAAATTAAAGCACCAAGTTAATAATTAAATTTGCTTTGGGTGATATGAGAGAAAATTAATTTATGAATTCTATAAAACTGAAAAATCACATGATATTAAATTCTTTTTTTTTTTTTTTGAAACTTTATACAGCACTAATTTACAAACAAAATTTATATCTATGAGGGACAATAATATTATTTTAATTTTTTTTTTTTTTTTAGATTCAATGAAATTTATCTTGTGCATAGCACATATTTTATGCTAGTACAAATGAAGTGAATGAGAGGGAAGGGGAAAAAATGAATGGAGACTAGAAATTATTCAATCGTCTCCCTAAACAAGTTTAAGTGATGTTTTAAAATAATAGTTATTGATCTCAAACCATAATACTCACCCTTTGATTTTTAAGAGACAATGAATTAAGCATTAATATGTAAATAAAATAGAATATTAATAAAAGTAGTTTTTGAATTCAACTTGCTTTTTTAGTGTAGTCATTTTATTGTCAATGTCAAAAATTTTAAATACATAAATCATATTTATGATGGGTAAAATTTATTTTTTTTTAAAATGATGATATAATGTCAAAAAGGTGAGGTAAGATAACCTTTGTGATAAGGTTAATTAAAGTTTTTTCCCCCACAACGGTCAAATTAGTAAGTAAAACTTTTCCACCGCCACCGCGCCGACCCTCTCTCCATACCTCATTTCTCAGAGCAAGGATCCTCTAGAGTTTTTTTTCCCTAAAGTTTCCTAGAGTGGTGTGTTGTATGGTTGAGATTTAATGACAAGTCACATCAATTTTTTAGCATTAAATCTCACCCATACAACACACCACTTTAGGAAACTTTAGAAAAAAAAAACTCTAGAGGATCCTTGGTGCATTTCTCATCTTTTAAATGTACTTTTTGATTGTAAAGACGGGAATGGGGTGATCATCATTCACTTTTTTTATAAATTTTAAAAACAAAACAAATAAAATAAATAAAATTATCAATTTTATTATCTTTGTTTAAAAAAACAGAGAGCATAGTTTTAAAATCATATTAATACTCCATCCATCCTACATTGTTAGTCCATTTTGTCATTTTTTGATATTCTAAATTAATTGTCCATTTTAAAAAGTAAAAACATAAATTTTTATATTATTCCAAATCAACCCTTTAAAAATGATTATAAATATATTTAATGATGGGAATAAAGAGACAATATGATAAATTAATATTTTTTAATTTGACTTTAAAACAATAATTATGTATTATCTTGAAAAGTTGAAATTTTTAAAAAAGACATAAGATGGAGGGAGTAATTCATTTTTAAAGATAAATTTAAATAAATTATTTATACCAACAAAATTTTTATACAAAAAATTTCATCTAGGATAATAAGATTATTTTTCAAGTTAAAATACCTTTATTGTGCCTCATAATTACGAGTGATTATTGGATATTTCTAGAATATGGTCACGTGATAGTTTTTAAAGAGACATATAGAATCTTTCAAGATGTTGAATAATATAATATTGTGTTGGGTGATTAAAAAATTTAAAGAGACATAGTATATGATGACTAGTTCTAAAATATGGACATGTGACGCTCCAAAAGTAATAATTAATTTTTTCATAATTATATCTATATAGTTATCAGATCATTCTAAATGCATTAGAAATTTTGTTGGTAAAACATAGGTAAATAAAACGGTCGAAAGTCACAGGAAATTGAATGAAAGATGAAGGATTAACAAGAGAGGGTGCACAGAGACATTGCATTGGCGTGTATAGACGGTATAGTGGGAGTGGGAGACAATGGTTAACAAAAGGAAGAGAACCAACCACGGATCCCTGCACATTTGTACAACTGGGTTCTGAGAACTTGGCATCGCACACAAAAAAACAAATTACAATTCCCAATCTCAATTCAAACACCTCATGCTGCCAGCCCATCAAAATGGAGGATGCAGAAAAGAGAGAGGGGAAAAAAAAAAAAAAAAAAAAACATTTTTAACATAAAATATATATATATATATATATAATTTATATAAAAATTTCAGAATGATATAAAAATTACAAATTCATTTCAAAGACAAAAAAATTCATTACTGTCACTCAAAAATTCTGCTATCATATAATTTTGTATAAAAAGTTATTTGTAAATCATTTTTCATATAAATAACATAAATTATCTTTTTTATACGTAAAGCAAATATAAAAATTGGTATTTTTTTTGTTCAATAAGAGCGTCCTTATTAACAGTAGTTATATCATTAATTAATTAATTTTATTTATTTAAAAACTGTTGGATCTTTTCAGATTTAAAACATATTTCAGATTTTAAATTCAAATATACATTTCACAACCTTATTTCGTTAAAAAGATCTTAAGCATCACATGTGCCACCATTTCTATGTAGAAAAATGTTTGGGAGCATTAATTAGTGCTCTCACTAATTAGGTGACAGTGGGTCCCGCCAGCCATTAATGATGTGATGTTTTAGTCTTGGAGTTGTATTTTTATTTTATTTTTTTACTTTTTTAATACGTTAGTACTATTAGTGGTGATATTTTTAGTGGGATGAATCATTATTGTTCTATGTATATGGAGAAAGACTAAAATGGCCACCCCAAGATTAGTAGGCACCATGGCACATTGCAAGGAAGAAACTAAGAAATTAGAGAATCAACAAAGAGCTGCACTTTGCTACTAAAATTATATCAAACTGTTTACAACTTTGATTACACCACAAATATTCAATCGAACTCTATAATTTCACCAACAAAAGAAAGCTGTTCCTTTTTTTTTTTTTTTTTTTCTTTTTCTTTTTTCTTTCACAACAAAAGGTAACCAAAGAATGTTAGAACCTAGAATCTTGATCTTGTGTTCTAAATGTATGTCCATGAACAAATGGGTTAATAAAAAAACAACAAAAATGCTATACTTATAAAGTATCTCGCCCTATTTTCTTTTCACTAAACATAAATAGAATATGTATTATATTCTCAAAATAAAAAGAAAAAATACTTAAAGAGTAGGAAATTTGATTACAAAATTCAATTATATAATCAAATTCTGTGTATTTAAAAATTTTCTTTTCTATTAAAAATTTTCTTTTATTAGCCTGTCATCTTCAACTCTTCCAAGCATAAACCATGAGAGAAAACCCAGAAGGACTCATCAACTCATTTTCTTCCACACTTGCCCATTCCATCACTGAACTACACCCTGATGAAGAAGCCGATGACACCGACGACGATGACGACGACAACGAGCTTCTCGCTGTCCTCAACAAGCTCTTCCTCATCATCTTCTGCTTCTCAAATCCAAACCCACAAGACTGTTGTGACCACCCATTCATTTCATTCGATTGATTGATCTCGTCATCTTCTTCTTCATCATCATCAAATCCTAGTTTCTCAAACTTGAACATGAACAGAGCATACCCATTGTCACCATCCTCAAACAACCAATTATACACATCCCAAGAGACTTGTATGGAAAAACCATCCACTTCAATCCTCTCATTCCCTCTGAATTTCCACTTCAAGTGCTTGATCTCCAATACCCTTTCCTGATCAACACTGAAACAGAGTTTCTGATCACCATTGACTCTGCAATCTATAGATATATCTCTTGATTTGCCTCCGAAGCTTGCTTTTGTGGTGTATAGTTTGTTGATTCCGTACACGTGTTCTCTTCTGAGAACCATCGATTGGGTTCTCCGAGGTTTTGAATTTGAAGCTCTCGTCTTGGCATAAGCTTGATCAATAGAGTCGCCGGCCAGAAGGGTCATTGCGCCGCCGTCCACGGCGGCGATGTAGAACCCTGATTGGGGTTCGGGTCGGGATCCGAATTGGGCTTTCGAAAGATCCCAGAAGATTTGAATGGTTTTGGGTGTGGCGGTGTTGATTTTGAGCTTCTTTGAACCTTTTTTGATCCAGAAATTGAAGGGTTTGAGGAGGAGGTGGAAAGAAGGGTCGGAGGAGGAAGATGGAGAAGAGAGAGTGGCGGTGGTGGGATGGTGGAGATGGAGGTGGAGGTGGAGGGAGCGGCCAAGGAGGGTGTGGGACCAGGTGAGGGTGAAGAGGCCGAGGTTGGTTTTGTAGACGGAGGTGGTGAGGTTGGGATTGGAGGAAGTGGGTGGCGCCGCCGTCATGGAGTGGTGGTTGGCAGCGGAGGTGGTGGTGGTGGGGGGGCGAAGGCAAGAGGGGAATTGAGAGGACTTGGACATGTTTTTTTCAACGAAATTGGGTTATGACTAATATTTATAAAGCGGAGAGAGAGAGAGATTCACGCGTATATAATTTTAGAGACTATTTTTGATTTGTATATTCCATTCTTCAAATATGTTTTATTACGGTGTGGTTTGGAAAAAGTTCACTTGAATTTTTTTGACTTTTTAAGTCACAAAATATAGAATAAATTATTTGAGTCATAACAGATAAAATATCACATTCAATCCATAATCATTATACTTTTCTTTCACAAAAAAATTCAAAATAATCAAAAAGTCCTTCCCAAACCAAGCTTTTAAGCCCAGGCTCAAATAGTCAAAAAAGTCAAAAAGTCACAAAGTCAACCCATTTTTCAAACAGAAGCTACATTTTTGAATTATTCCAATCATCTAGCCAAAAATATTTTTCTTAGTTTTTTGATATTTGGTATAATTGTAAACGAGACTTTATAAAAATATTTTTTATAGTTAATAAAAAAGAAATTTATTTGATAGAAAATATGTTTTACTTTTAAAAGATAAAAATGTCTTTCTAATTAAAATATTATTAATATCATCACACTATCATCATTATTTTTACATCCACCACCACATTATCGTTACCACGGCCATTGCTGCCATGCCACCACCTTCACTTTTATCCCATCACTACCACCACCAAGCCAAACAAAAAAAATATATATTTTCTAAAAAAATTTTTTGGTAGAAAATATTTTTTATCTAAACAAACTGATCATATAATAATGAATGTTTTAATTTAAAATAAAAAATGCTTAACTTCTTTTAGAAAAAACGAGAATATGAACTTGAATTTTCATAACCAGGAGGTTTTTTTTTTTTTTTTAGTCTCCAATGATAAAACGATTACATTTTTATATTACATTTAGTTTAGCAAAATTTTATTCATACATAAAATTTATACAAAAATAAACTTTATAAAAAGTGTCACAATGCTATTATTATAAATAAATCTATCTTTAATGGTGTTTTCTTTTGAAGTAAAAAGTTCACAATAAATCATATCATTATGTATAAATTTTTTATTTGTATATAATTACTCTTTCGTTTATCAAGTACTAAACTGATTTAAGAGAATATTACAACACACACCCCGCAAATTGTACAACAAATCAAATAAAATATGATATAAAAATGTGATTATTATTTTTTAAGACTTGATTTGGGATGCAAATAGAGACATGTATGACCAATTTTGTCATAAAATTCAATTAGATCAGATCAATTAAAGCAGCCAAAGATCAACCTTATCTTTTATTTGACTAAATTGATTTTATTACTATTTCATATGGGCAGCTTGATGTTTTGATTTTTATTGTAACAACGATAATAGTCACAGAAAAGTAATTAGGTGGCACATGTATAAATACTTTTTTTGCCTGTCCAAATCTTTCGTTTATTTAATACATTATATTGCTTATTACTCATTGAAACTCATCAAAGTAGTGGCGTTATTGTATTGTCTTTTAAATTTTTATTATTTGTTCTTTTAATAGTCGGTCTAATTTGACAAATATACGTGGGCCTTCATCAAAAGCTTAAAAAAGAGGGTGTAATTACGAGGTCCCTAAAATTCTCACACCAGCATATGATTTATCTGCAATATAATGAGGGGAATAGTGAAAATTTTGTAATTCATCAAATGCATTATTATCTATCATTCAAGTTAATTAGAATGTCGACACATTTATTTGCTTCTCGATTGATATGACTATTAGTTGAAATTCCCAATTAATTCAGGAGACATTTATTAAAATAATTTTATGTGTAAAGTAAAAAGGTGAATTACACTAATGGTCCCTATAGTTTGGGACTTGTGTCATTTTTGTTCTTGACTTTTCAATTGTGACACATTTGATCTTGAATTTTAAATCTTGTTCCAAATAAGGACAATTGTAGATACTATTGAATTTTTTAAGGATAAAATCGTCAAATTGATAAAATATAAATTAATTTGAAAAAAATAAATGTCAAAAATCTACGGATTTTTAATTATTCAATCCGGAACCGAACCACGGATTCAAAAAACCAATCCAAACCTATCGGATTGGACTGGACTGGATCGGATTACGAATTTCACGGATTCCTTGCTCAGCCCTAATATTGCTTATTACTCATTGAAACTCATCAAAGTAGAGGCGTTATTGTATTGTCTTTTAAATTTTTATTATTTGTTCTTTTAATAGTCGGTCTAATTTGACAAAGTATACGTGGGCCTTCATCAAAAGCTTAAAAAAGAGGGTGTAATTACGAGGTCCCTAAAATTCTCACATCAGCATATGATTTATCTGCAATATAATGAGGGGAATAGTGAAAATTTTGTAATTCATCAAATGCATTATTATCTATCTTTCAAGTTAATTAGAATGTCGACACATTTATTTGCTTCTCGATTGATATGACTATTAGTTGAAATTCCCAATTAATTCAGGAGATATTTATTAAAATAATTTTATGTGTAAAGTAAAAAAATGAATTACACTAATGGTCTCTATAGTTTGGGACTTGTGTCACTTTTGTTCTTAACTTTTCAATTGTGACACATTTGACCTTGAATTTTAAATCTTGTTCCAAATAAGGATACTTGTAGATACTATTGAATTTTTTAAGGACAAAATCGTCAAATTGATAAAATATAAATTAATTTGAAAAAAATAAATGTCAAAAATTATTTTTGAATTTTTAAAAATTATTTCTAGCTACTAAAGATAAAATTATATAAAATTAATAAATATTTTAGACATTTATTTTTTTTTACCAAATTAATTTTTATTATGTATTTGGATGATGATCATGTAAAATTAAATTTTAAAAATTAATCATGTAATTTTTATTAATTTTTATCAATTTTACATAATTTTATTTTTGGTGGATATAAATAATTTTTAACATATTTTTTTGACATTTATTTTTGTCAAATTAGTTTATATTTTATCAAATTGATGATTTTGCCATTGAAATTAAGTAATGGTATGTTCAATTGTCCTTATTTGGAACAAAATTCAAAATTCAGGGTCAAATATGTCACAATTGAAAAGTTAGAGACTAAAGTGACACAAGCCCCAAACTATAAGGATTATTAATGTAATTTTCCCAAAGTAAAATACATAAAACAAATCAAATAAATAAATAAATTAACTTACAAAATATTTACCAAAGAACGATAAGAACTTCAAAGATTAAGTCGAGTGTGTGATACTCTCTCCTTAAAATAGATTTGCTACCGCACAAGTGCTTACGGACTAATAGTGTTTATCTCTCAAGATAAAATGTTTAAACGCAGGATTAAAGTAAGCACTACAATCAATCTGACAACGAACCAGAGCTTATATTCTGCACTTCTCTTAAATCTCTCTAAAACTAATATGAAGAATAAATACAAGAGAGAAGAAAAACGGAAAGCAATTGAATGAATGAATTTGCTGGAAATGCTTGTATTTATGGGCATAGTGGTGTTTGTTTGAAATTGTCACGACCCAATTTGCTACCGCACAAGTGCTTACAGACTAATAGTGTTTATCTCTCAAGATAAAATGATTAAACGCAGGATTAAAGTAAGCACTACAATCAATCTGACAACGAACCAGAGCTTATATTCTGCACTTCTCTTAAATCTCTCTAAAACTAATATGAAGAATAAATACAGGAGAGAAGAAAAACGGAAAGCAATTGAATGAATGAATTTGCTGGAAATGCTTGTATTTATGGGCATAGTGGTGTTTGTTTGAAAAGGTAGAAAAACCTTCTGAACAAATGCGAGTTTGAATCGCCGGAAAAAAAGAACAGAGCTGATTGGAAGGACACACTGGTTGGGTTTGAATTTTTAAATTTGAGTTTGAAATTTCCCACAAATTTTTGAATTACTTTGATTTAGAAAATTAAAATTTTCTGCAAGAATTTGAAAAAATTCAAACAAATTTTGTCCAAAAAATTAAAGGTAGGATCCAACCCTAGCTGGCAGCGCGTGTGGTGTTTTAATACAAAGCATGCTTGGTCCATAATTCCCCCCTCTCCCCCAACAAAACTTGCGTGTCCCTTGAGGCCCATCTAAAGTGTACCAAATTAGAGTTTACATATTTGTATAAACTCTCTCCTTGTTTCAATGTGGAACAACTCAAAATAGAGCAACTCACATTTGTTTCTTTAACTTCCAACTTTACGAAGTCGAAAATGACGTCCACTTTTCATTCATTCATAAATAGTTTTGACAAACCAACTTCAACATGTGACTTAACATGCGACAAAGAATATGTCACCACTCGAATCCACCTCAAAATACGTGTGAGTCCTACTTGAATTTGGGTTTAAAGTTGACTTAAAAAAACCTTATAAAACTAATTTTTCCATCAGCACTCTCAATATAACGGTTTATTTTTACATCACCATCTGTGTTTAATTTAATGTAGAATGAACTCTAAAGTTTTTCAAACCTTATATTATCACTAAGATATCTTTCTTTTTCTTAAAAAAAAAAAAAAATGTAATGTTCTAGGTTGAATAACTAATAGAACAGCCAAGCATTTCCCATTTCTTTTTGCTGCCTTATGGCTTGTTTGGGAAGTAATAGTTTTAACCTCAAAATCAAAAAAAATATTTAAAAAAATCAAAAAACTTATAACCTATAACAAAAAGTCAAAAATTCTCTTTTTTCTCTACTTTTTGTACATTTTTTCATAAAAAATCAAAAGTTATTCCAAACATACCAATTGTTTTTATCTCATATTTTAATTAAAAAGTCAAAAAATTACTAAAATAACCTATTCCCAAAGGATACCTTAGCCTAACCTAACCAAACCAAACCAAACCAAAACATACCATACAAATTGCCCCAACCCCCGATTAATTGTGGCCATTGATTTTTGCATAGAATTGCCTTACACCCTGGAGTGGACAATGTATGTCTTCTTTGCTCTGGTATGAAAATTGTTTTGCATTTTAATAATTTGCCAGCTGGTGCATTGTTGCATTCAATCATTGTCGATAATAAACTTGTTTGGTGCCAT